TGGGGAGAGAGGGGAGGGCGTCACTTTTAACACTTTTGAAAGGAATCCACATTTAAAAAATTCACCCCACACATTGTGAGGAATCTCTACACTCGGCAAAAAAAGGAAATCCATCACCTACACTGTAGGGTTTTCTACCATTTTTAAACAATCCCTAAACCATACCTTATGGGGTTTTCATGCACCAATGTTATACGACCCCATCCCAAAATACCTGTAGGGTTTCTCATACGCACACCTTTAACAAACCCCACTTCTTACAAAGATAACCACCTACCACCAGGAAATGTGGGGGGAATTGATAAAGCTCGGGTTAAAACCAAAATACCACCCACCCGGTGTAGATACAACAAGTGTAGATTACCAGGTGTAGATACCACAACCAGGTGTAGCTATCCACGAACCAGGTGTAGATACCACAACCAGGTTGTAGATACCACAACCAGGTGTAGTATACCCACAGGTGTAGACACCAGGTGTAGATACCACAACCAGGTGTAGATACAAACCAGGTGTAGATACCACAACCAGGTGTAGATACACAACCATGTTGGAGATACCACAACCAGGTGTTCACAAACAGGATACCACAACCAGGTGTACAACCAGGTGTATATACCACAACCAGTGTAGATACCACAACCAGTGTAGATTCCACAACCCCCACCGTGTAGATACCACAACCAGGTGTAGATACCACAACCAGGTGTAGATTCACACAACCACACCCGGTGTAGATTCCACAACCATGTAGAACCAACCAGGTTTGTACCAACAACCAGGTAGATACCACAACCATGTGTAGATACCACAACCCCAGGTGTAGATACCATAACCGGGTGTAGATACCCCAACCTTGTGTAGGATAAACCTTAACCTTGTGTAGATACCTTAACCTTGTGTGTAGATACCACAACCTTGTGTAGATACCTTAACCTTGTGTAGATACCTTAACCTTGTGTAGAATACCTTAACCTTGTGTGGATACCCTAACCTTGTGTGGATACCTTAACCTTGTGTACCTTAACTTGATAACACAACCAGATGTATATACTACAACCAGGTGTGGATACCACAACCAGGTGTAGATACCACAACCAGGTGTGGATACCACAACCAGGTGTGGATACCACAACCAGATGTAGATACCACAACCAGGTGTAGATACCACAACCAGGTGTGGATACCACAACCAGATGTAGATACCACAACCTTGTGTAGATACTACAACCAGGTGTGGATACCACAACCAGATGTAGATACCATAACCTTGTGTGGATACCTTAACCAGGTGTGGATACCACAACCAGGTGTAGATATCACAACCAGGTGTAGATACCACAACCGGTGAGGATACCACAACCTTGTGTAGATACCCCAACCAGGTGTAGATACCGCAACCAGGTGTAGATACCACAACCGTGTGAATACCACAACCTTTGTGTAGATACCTCAACCATGTGTAGATACCACACCCTTGTGTAGATACCACAACCAGGTGTAGATAACCACAACCAGGTGTATTACCACAACCAGGTGTAGATAACCACAACCAGGTGTAGATACCACAACCAGGTGTAGATACCACAACCAGGTGTAGATAACCACAACCAGTTGTCGATACCAACAACAGGTGTAGATTCCACAACCAGGTGTAGACAACCACAACAAACCGTGTAGACACCACAACCAGGTGTAGACACCACAACCAGGTGTAGACACCACAACCAGGTGTAGACACCACAACCAGGTGTAGACACCACAACCAGGTGTAGACACCACAACCAGGTGTAGATACCACAACCAGGTGTAGATACCACAACCAGGTGTAGATACCACAACCATGTGTAGATACCACAACCTTGTGTAGATACCACAACCATGTGTAGATACCACAACCATGTGTAGATAATACAGCCAGGTGTGGATACCTTAACCTTGTGTAGACACCTTAACCTTGTGTAGATACCACAACCTTGTGTAGATACCTTAACCTTGTGTAGATACCTTAACCTTGTCTAGATACCTTAACCTTGTGTGGATACCATAACCTTGTGTGGATACCTTAACCTTGTGTAGATACCACAACCAGATGTAGATACCACAACCAGGTGTGGATACCACAACCAGATGTAGATACCACAACCAGGTGTGGATACCACAACCAGGTGTGGATACCACAACCAGATGTAGATACCACAACCAGGTGTAGATACCACAACCAGGTGTGGATACCACAACCAGATGTAGATACCACAACCTTGTGTAGATACTACAACCAGGTGTGGATACCACAACCAGATGTAGATACCATAACCTTGTGTGGATACCTTAACCAGGTGTGGATACCACAACCAGGTGTAGATACCACAACCGGTGAGGATACCACAACCTTGTGTAGATACCCCAACCAGGTGTAGATACCGCAACCAGGTGTAGATACCACAACCGGTGAGGATACCACAACCTTGTGTAGATACCTCAACCATGTGTAGATACCACAACCTTGTGTAGATACCACAACCAGGTGTAGATAACCACAACCAGGTGTAGATACCACAACCAGGTGTAGATAACCACAACCAGGTGTAGATACCACAACCAGGTGTAGATACCACAACCAGGTGTAGATAACCACAACCAGGTGTAGATAACCACAACCAGGTGTAGATACCACAACCAGGTGTAGATTCCACAACCAGGTGTAGACACCACAACCAGGTGTAGACACCACAACCAGGTGTAGACACCACAACCAGGTGTAGATACCACAACCAGGTGTAGACACCACAACCAGGTGTAGATAACCACAACCAGGTGTAGATAACCACAACCAGGTGTAGATACCACAACTAGGTGTAGATTCCACAACCAGGTGTAGATACCACAACTATGTGTAGATAACCACAACCAGGTGTAGATACTACAACCAGGTGTAGATACCACAACCAGGTGTAGATACCACAACCAGGTGTAGATACCACAACCAGGTGTAGATACCACA